CATAAACCTCGAAGCAGCAAGCACTTTGCCTGGGATAGTTTCGCACGCGTTACGTCACAGCTCATAAAACAAGCGGCTTCCGCGCGGCTTCAATCTCTATTATACATCTACGTACGGTCGCCGACGATGATGTCACAGAATAATTCGCCATGATGATGCCGCGGAAAAGAAATGTGCACAAGAGCATTCGCTAATTCGCCGTGTCGTTCTGGGCGTTGTAACGGGCGTAACCGGTAAATTTCGACTGACACGCGGATGCCCGACAAAACGTATTATGAAATTGCATTCTGACCTTTGATCAAATCTCGGAAGAACGAGTTGTAAACGCGAGTGCCCACGTCAGATTGTTACACGGGTCTCGCTGTTGTATTTCCCGGCTGACGTAAACTTCCGACTGCGCAGCTACCTCCATGTAGCGCACATTGAGAGCGCCCGAATGAGAGGTAGGAAAGTCAGGAAGGTGAATGAATATAAGAGGAATGTATAACAAATTAAACGTTTATGATAAGCGGGTTTAATTAAAATTATTAAAATTTAAGTTATTTGTCCCAATGCCGTGTGTGCCGGCTTGATTTTTTGAAAAAAAAAAAAAATATATATATATATTAATAAATATTTCAGTTTTTTTCAGCAGAGTTTATGACCTTTTATATCAAAATATAATAGATTACTCCAGAGCTTCATGTATATAGATATCGATAATAATAAAAAGGTAGCTTTTTGGTACAATTCCAAGTTTTGACCTGAATTTAAATAGATTAAAATTAATGAAACGAACGAACGATTTTTAAATCTCTATTCGATATTTAAGACTTTGACACAATTACATTTAATTAATATTTCTCAAAATATCTGTGTAGTTATTACACTAAAAATAATAAAAAAAATATACGTATATGTAATTAATAAAATTAATAATAAAACATTGTATGTATGTCTATATATGTGCACATTTAAAAACAAAAAACGAAATTAGTGACGCCTGTCAATCAACATAACGACAATGTCACATCCTTACAAGGATTTTGTCACATCTGTCATGCCTGCGGTCAACATCCTAGTAAAGTCTCGGCCTAAGTCTCATTGTGAAAAACGTATCGATTACACGGGTATCGTTGTAAGGACCTTCGGGTGTCGGGCCTTCGGTAGGTAGGTGCGACTTCCTACGGGTGCCGTAAACACGCCGAAAGCCACCGGCTAAACGCCGGCGCTAGAAAAAGAGTCCCTCCGCGCGCGGCAGGGAGGAGAGGAGAGTGGAGGGTCCTCTCAATAGGATGAAAGACGGCGAGGTCGGAATGTCAGTGGGACACGCCCATTGGAAGGTACTGTAATTTGATGCGTTTGTGCGCGGATGCGCGTCACCACCGAGCGATGCATTTACGCGCGGAGCTACCTGTACGTGTCTCTTCCTCTTCCTCCTCCTCTTCTATCTCCTCGTTTCTCTCTCTTCCCTGCCCCCCCCCCTCCCCCTTCGCCGACGTGAAAATTATCCACCCGCGTTACGTCACGTAGAAAAAATACGCGGCCGGCGCAGTCGCGGTTGTACGAGAGAAACGCGATCCGATCGGGGACATCGACGGACGCGGTATGTGTTGCAAACGCGCGCGCACGTGGTGTAAATATCGCGCGCGTTCGCTCGTCGAATCGTAAAATGAAGCCGAGTTCTCGGATTCGAATGAGCGAGCGAGGGGATTCCGGGATACCACCTACCGCCTGCCTCTCCCTTGTAATTTTGACTTTTGCCCGCGCCAACATATGCATTTTTCCAGGTGAAAATACAAACGCGTTTCCGGACGCGAGAGTTCACGCGCGTGTGCATAGCGAGGTTTAAGTTGAAAAAATTCGCTTTTAAATCCCCAATTCCGCCCAACCTCGAAATCATTCATTTTTAGTCAATTGGCGAAATTGACGGGCAATTAACCGTAAATGAGAGAATAAATGATACCCGCGCATTATTAATAATTCTCGCAAATTAATATCGCGTAACGTGATCGCGATAATCACTCACTTGTGCAGAACGCATCGGCAATCGTCGTCGTAATGATTCATTGACACGGTTAATTAATAACGGAGAAATAAGGAATTGCAATTCAGCTTATATCTGTACGGTTCACTAGCTCGGAAAAGTGCAATCTTGCCAACTAATAATGCAGCAAGATAGATTTCAAAGGAAAACGTTCAAGAAACATATATATATATATATATATATATATAATATGTTTCTCGAACATTTTCCTAATTATATATATATATATATATATATATATACTGAAGGAAATAACGTTTTAAAAGCAAGTGAATTCTTCATCAGGAAAAGTCCACAATTGAACAAAAAATATACAGTTGAAGGATAAACAAATCGTAAACTCTGCACACTTCGGTTGCACTTTTTGTCGGCTTATTTTCCTCTCTTGTGCTCCAAGGCACAATGTGCGCGCTATTATAAATACGAGAAGTGTGAAAAAGTGTAATAAACGAACCTCTCAGCGACGAAGGTTACGGAAAGCCTTCGAGGCTGCTGCAACGCTGCTCCGTAAACGCGAACGTGTCACGATAAGGCGTGATAAAGAAGACGCATACGTATGTATACTCTAAAACGCCGCGCCGTGCGCTTTTTTCCTCAAGTGCGATTTAACGCGCGGTCGAACCTCGCGATTTTCACAGCGGCAAAAAAAAGCCTCCGCCGCGGTACGGTATCTCCCGCCGGAGGTACGTACAAGCCTCGTCACAAGCGATCCCCCTCGACGGGGATTCGTAATTGCGCGATGCACAAGGCCTTCAACGTGTGTCGAACGCTTACGCGCGCGCATGAACGCTTTCCCCGAACGCGATAACCGACGAAACCGCGGAATCCGCTCGGCGCACATACACACACACGACGCCCGACGCGAAGATGGAGGTTACGTTTACGTGCCGGCTACGACCGGCGGTCGTCATAGCGAACAAATGAAGCGCGACGTAACGCGAGCGAGACAGGAGGGCACACACACGATCGCGGGCGATTGAACGTTTCGATAATGCGTTTCGGTTGCGGCGATAATTCAGCGACGATAACGATACTAAAAAAGCGAGCGCTGGCGAAAATTCAAGAGGCCGCGCATTCCGGTTTCTCGACTGGTATACTACTCGCGCGCCGCGACGCGCCGCCCGCCGGGGTCTTGGGTGACCAACTTCAGAGCGACGCTCTTCCGTCCGCCCCCCCTCCCCCCGCGACGCGCGAGGAGTGACCAACTTCAGAGCGACGCTCCCCGCCGGCCGCGACACGTCTCGATTTCACACGCGTTTCGAGATTACGTTGGAGCCGCGCCTCGCGCGTATCGCGAACACCCGTAATTTTAGACGCAATGCACGCTGGCGTTAACTTATTTTCAGATCACGTTTCTCTTCATACCTCTCACCTCCGCCGTTTATTGTGACTTACACTTGATTGATCGTGTTTCCCCGAAGCATATATATATATATTTTTTTTTCCCCGACACTTCTAAACGAGTTGCGCAAATCATCATCGTCCAGTATTTGCGCAAACAATCGCAAGAATGAAAACCAATCTGCTTCGTGAAGAAGCAAGAAACGACACTCGCGAAATAATTCAATTTCATCTGTTTCACATTCAAATAGATTCAAGTAGATTATAAACGTTTTCCTTCCTACGTATCCAAATAGAAAATACACTGCGTTGAATGATCTTTTTTCCTCGTCTACCTTTTTCTTGTGCGGAGTAAAATTTTCGTCCGTATTAAATTAATAAAATCTCGGTGATTATACAGTTATCCGCATTGATAGCTTGACACACATAAATTCTAATTGCGCAATGAGTGTCGAACTGTCAATATAGAAGTTGTCACCCGATCGAATTTGCAAATACCCCGAGCACATTCTTTTGACGGCGTTTTCAATTGCAGCGATGCAAATCACGGATGCGATATCCAACCTTCATAAAGTTATGCTTGATTAAATATGTATTCGATATGTGTATAAAAAGCAATTGCAATGTGTTTCCCACCTGCCATTTTACATTTGACTTTTAGATTTTAATTCGGAGTTCAACTTCATGCGGAATATAAATTTATATGAAAGTCGGGAATAAGTTAAATTACTCCCAATGCAGATTATCTCGATTAAAAACTGCACGTAATATCGCATAACCGTAATATACGCACAGAATAACTTGAGAATATTATTTCCCCGTCGTCAAACAAACTTCTTTAACTGGTTTAATTTCAGCGGGTGTTAAGAAACCGATAAGAGGAAACCGATATTTTCGCGATATCTTCAGAAGTACTATAAAAAAAACGTCAAGTTTTCTCGACAGGACAGGTGTATATATATATATATATATATATATATATATATATACATATACGAAATATATGTAAAGTGTCATGATAGCTTGCATTTTAAGACTCAGTATTCTCATTAACCGTGCACGCGTGACGCGGCGTGACATCGACGTTTACAGTATCAATAAACGCGAGGGACTCTCGTATAAACACTTCAGCAAACAGATATCGCCGCCCGATTACCACGTACCTAATTTAACTTCTTGCGATAACGCGCCGACGAGGCGCGACTCGACGAATTTTTTTTTTTTTTTTTTCCGATGGGAGGAAAAACACAAGCCGCGGCGTGAAGACGCGCCGTTCTCGAACCCGCGTGACGTCATCCCGCGCGCGTCCGACGCGTACATATAAATACGTTATATACATACATAACGCAAACCTAACCGTGTGTAAAAACGTACGATACTATATATATACGCGGCGCCCACGCGGAAAACGTCATCCATCGCGAGACCTTACTCGATCATCCCGCGGATCGCCCTACTCGCGTATTTACTAGCCGCGTACCTACAGGCGCGTCACACCCACACCCGTTTGCGTCTCGTAACACGCGCGCACACACGCACATACACACGTAATCCGCGTAAAGATACACGTAACGCACATGACAGGTGTGCCTGATGGGTAAACCACAGATAGAGGGAACTTTGTATTCATTACCTTGCTCCGGAACACGCGAAGGATTCAGACGCGATCTTGCCGGTGATGTCGGTCACCTTGGCGCGAGGATGCTCTCTCGCGATCGTCGACGGCTGTAGATTTAATCTCTCTCTCTCTCTCTCTTTCCCCTCGCTCCCTCGTTGCGCTTCTCCACCGAAGATCGGACTGCGGACTCCTCTGCGCGTCACCAAAAACACAAGGTGGGAAACTACCGCCGGGCACTCTTACGCGAATATATATATATCCCGCGATATATTTCTGCGATTTTATATGTCGAACACCACTGCTCCGAAAAAAAGTATCCTCGGTATTCTCACTCTTTTTACCGTAAAATCCCGATGTGATCTCGCGGAGACACGATTGACGCACGGACGACGATCGTACGGTATCCGTGCGAATTTATCGCGAATGGAAAAAAAAATGACCGCTCTCGCTCTCTCTTTTTATCTCTCTCTCTCTCGCTCACACGTTAGCCGGCTCCTGTACGCTCTGCTGATCCGCCGCTGCACCAATGTTCCAACTCATAATCAGCTTTCCCCGATCACACGATTACTCCGCTTTTTTTTCTCTCTCTCTCTCTCTCTCTCGGATCCGCGCGCGCTGCCGCTTTCTCTCACTTGCTCTTTCCTTCTGCGCTTCCCGCACCGCTTCTCTTTTCTCTCGATCGCCTCTTCCTTCTCTCCGCTTTCTCTACTCCGCACGCGCGATGCGTTTCTGATGTTTTCTGACGATCCGGAAATGTCAAACGTCAGTTCAGCGAGCCACTGACTACGAAGCACGCGCGACCTGGACAAATGTTACAGCAACACGACAACGACGACGGCGACGGCGACGACGACGTGGGTGACGAGGACGACGACGACGACGGCGGCGACGTACTACGTGTCGCGACGATGACGACGGCGGCAATAGTAGCGGCGGTGGTGGCAGCGACTGCGGCGGCGGCGGCGGCGACGGCGGCAACAGCGGCGGCGGCAGCGGCGGCGGCGGCGGCGGCGGTGACTACGGCAATGGCGACGTACGTCGGGGGCGACGGCGGATACGACGACGTCGTTGGTACGAACCAGCGCTTGAACGGAAACGGGTGTATATTATAATGCAGCTGACGGAAGCCTCGATGCGATTTTTTGAGAGAGGGTGAAGAGGTAAGGCGAGCAATGCTGGTTAGGCGACGGGATTGCGACTGCTTGCTGCTTGCTTGCTAGCCGCTAGCGGGGGCCTGGCGCGACAGCAACTGCCCGACGGCAGCGCCCCTCTCTCCCCCTTCTCCGATTCCAGCGAGCCCCTCCACCGCACGTCGCGCGTATTCCCCTTCCCTCCCCCTTGCTTCCCGCCCGCGCCGGTCGCGCCAGCAGCTCGGCACGGTGAGGTACGGTCTGTCTCGCTTCCGCACTCGATATCGCGCCTGTCTCGCCCGCGCGTATCTCTCTCTCCCTCTCTCTCTCTCTCTTTCTCTCTCTCCGTCATCCCGCCACATTCCAACGTTCTCCATCGCGTTCGGAGCAATCGGTGCTCCAAGCGTCTCTCTCACTCGCGCCCGCTGGATAATACCCTCCACCACGTTCCTTTCCCCACCCACCCGCACGCTTCTCCTCTCTTTCCCTCTATCGCGCTGTCCCCTCCTTTTCTCACCACCCCGGAATTCTGTCATCTCGCTCGCGTCTACTAGATAACTCCGCTTTTTCCTTCCCCGTCCTTCCCGGGGTTATCACGTATCTCCTCTCTCCCTCTGTTCCCGTAACTCCGCCGCCTCACTCGCGCCTACCAGATATATCTTTTTTCCTTTCCTATCCTCCCGCTACACGGCGTATATTTCCCCTCTCCCTTTATCACGCGCCTTCTCTCTCCAGCTGACTTAGCGATTTCTGTCATCTCGCTCGCTCGCTCGCGCGATACCACGTCGCCACCACCACCACCACCATCGCCGCCACCACCGCCGCCGCCGCCGTCGCCACCGCCGCGACGTCGATGGTGGCGACGGCGGTGGTGGCGGCGTCGGCGACGACGAGGAGAGGCCGCCGACCACCCCTCTCTACGGCTCGATAAACCGCCTCGGCGCGCATGCCCGCGTTTTCCCCTTTCCCCCCCGCCGCGCCGAATCATTCTCCATATGACTGTAACTCCGTCCTCGTCTCGTTCTCGCCGCCTGGCGACCCAGCTTGCCTCGCTCGCTCGCTCGCTCGCTCGTTTCGCTGGAGACCGGCAATGGGGTTAGGTTAGATTTGGTCGCGCATCGCCTGCTGACTATCACGCCGCGCTCGCGCGGGTGGAGGGGCTTAGTCAGTCACCCCTTCCCCCTTCCTCACGCCGCCGCTCACGGCGTCTCTCTCGGTCTGGCCTCTTTCGGCGATCTCCTTCCTTCCGCCGGCACCAACTACCAACACGGCGAAGGAGAGAACCTGCCGCACGCGTTCTGCACGTCGGAGTAATCTTGTTTCATCGCGCGCGCGAGGAGGAGTACGTGAAAGAGGGAGAGATAGACAGAGAGAGACAGAGAGTGAGAATAAGAATGATAAAGCCCGAACGCGAGCGGCAGAGGGAGATGGAGGATACACGCGTGAGGGAGGGAATCAAGCGGGATCCGAGGAAAATTCTTTATATCAACGCCGATGCCTTCGGCGCGCGGCACGACGCCGCGCGATAGGCAACGGGAGAGATTTTTTTAGTGCGATGAAACGTAAGACTACCGCGGTATTTTTCGTAGGTACATCGCGGACGCTTCGAACGCGTCACGAGGACGATCGAAAGCGAATTCGATCCGATCTCGATCTCGCGGTGCGCGTCGCTCGACCGAATTCCGGTCGCTCTAGTGATTCCGAAATTCGATCGGATATCACGCGCTCGCGATTCCCTACGACTGTTTCCCGCACGAATTTCGAAACTGCATTCAACGAGAGGAGGAAGGGAGGGAGGGGGATAAAGCGAAATACGCAATGTCGCATCGACACTGTTTAGACCTCTATCCTCTCGTAATCCCGGCTTGCGTGTATTCGCGTATAGTTTAACGCAGTGCCTCCCAAACTTTCCGATTCAGCGGACGCCTAAATTCGCTAGAAAATCTCCAAAGCTCGACCGACCTAATAATTAAAATCTTATGCCGCAAATGATACAGAGCGATTTTCGCTTGAAGAATTGAACGTCGACCTATCTTTCTTCACTTTTGAAACATCGAAAAGAGAAAATGAGAATTGGAACTTTAAAGAATGAATTAAGGTACGTACTATTTCATGTTGATGCTCGACGTTCATTTTTAGCGTCAAAACAGATCACATGAATCGAAATTAATGCTTGATATTCATCAATTTAGATCATCCGATCTGTTTTGACGTCAAAAATGAACATCAAGCGTCAATATGAAAAGATATCTTAAATTTAATGAAAATTAATATCTTATACATACGTATCATGTGTGTGTGTGTGTGCATCATTGTCGGTTTAATACGAATTATTCAATTCTATAAAATGTATGCAAAAGCTTATCACATTTTAACTATTGATCGTATTTTTATATTCGACTATGGAACGCTGAATATAATTCCGGCATGTGTCTACATACCGGCCTTCACGGTTACAAATTTAGATATACAAGTTCTTTCGCACAGTTGACTAGCTTATTCGTTTGATTTATCCCCGAGAATTTCTTTGAATATACATTATGCTCTCTCACTGCACATATTATTATAAAATAAATGACATCATGCATATTTTCAACTCATGAAAATTCATAGAACTACTTAAGTATTAACACGTCGAGTGTCGGCAAAGTTTTCTATGCAAATACTAAGCTAATTTGTGCAACAAACTCATATTAACAAATAATTTCAAATGTATGTTCATGCCCATGCAAATTCAACTCTCAATTTGCAAAAATATATTTTATTAGATGCGACTGCCGTGTTCGCGCGAGTGCACAAAGTCTGTAACAAAATAAGAATCAACGAAATCAAACGAGCACTTTAAATTTAATATAGAGTATAATTACGTTACTAAATTAACGTAAAATTATTTTATGTTAACTATGTACAAAAAACCTGGTCATAAATAAATATTCATCACACAGGAGCAGAAAAAGGAAGAGAGAAAGAGAAAAAGAGAAAACAATTCTGAATTTTTTTGTTGAACTTTTTTGATTATTAAATCTTATGTGAAGCAAAACAAGTGTCTTCGAAAATACACCGAATCGAAAGCGAACAGCTGTTAATTAAAACAACCAGCAATCTTGACTGTGAAGAGGATTATGAATGTTTTTGCGGAAAAACACAAATTCTCGACGTTTTATACTTTAGATTTTCAAGATCTGTCAAGTATCCTCTCAGTTGTAACATCTTCATAGTCAACAGTCAATTTAATAACAATGAGTTTAAATTTTTTTCCGATTGATTTTAATGAATGAATATGGAAGTAGGGATTAATTGTTATTTCTTCTGTTTCCATTTTCATAAAGGATTTTTAAACGAGATTAGTAAAGAATATTCTAATTGTTTTATGCGCTTGATATAGAAGTGGTTATAATAATTCTTCGCTCTTATGTTTAAATAAAAATAATCACATATTAAATATGCTCAACTAATTAAAAAATAACTTGAAAAAAATAAATTTACAAAGATACAGCTATATTGCATAATTATTACATTAATAAAAATGTAATTCGTGAAAAGGTAAACTATACAAAAGGTATACAAAGGAAAATTGTGTCAGTAGGCCTATTCTTTTTACCTGAACTTCTTGAATCATTCATCTTTTCTCTTTTTTTCTTTAATGGGAGAGAAAAAGAGAAAAGATGAACCGTTCAAGAAGTTTAGCTGAAAAGAACATGCCTAAAATCAAAGAAAAATGACGGTCGATAAGTCCTGAAGGATCATTCACTCTCTGGTGGTGACTAGGTCACTCGAAACCGATAAATATTTATTAGTTTTCGAAGATTATTCATATATCCTCTTTACATTGTAAGAATGGCAAAAATCAAACTACTGCTTTTTTTCCCTATTGTTTTATATACTACATTTATTATATGCGGAGCGATTCTTTTATTATTTAATGAGAGTATGGGTCAAGAATGATCCAGTCAGTTTTTCAAAGGATATGTTTTCCGAGTACTAAGGATTTGATTCCGCTAAATAAACCTGACCGAGGGCAATTAAAAGTCTTTTTTCTTTCTAAATCACAGATGTATCGTTAGTGGATGGAAAAAAAATGAACTAAATTCAGAATTGATCAGTGAAGCAATCTACAGAACTCCAATATATTATCAAACCGACATTTTTTACGTTCTCTCCTTTTTCTCTCTTGTCCTATCAAAAGCAACTAAAGCAACTGCATATACATGCGTGTACAAAAAGAAAAGAGTGTTGAAAATAGGAGAAATAGAGACGTTAAACGGCAGCCCGTGCAACAAACATCCCGGTGTGCATCCTGTATGATAGTATCCTGTATCTCGTACAGAGTGGTGAGAGATCCTCGGGATCCGATACCAGCGGGCCACGGCGTGTCGTTCGGGTTGGTACCTCTCGCCACACGTCGGTCTAGTATCTCTCGTATGCGCGCGGACCTTGTTCGCATGTTCACGGCTATCTTAGCCGCGATGTCACAACAGAGATCGACTCGGCCGCACTCCGTTCACGTTCCAGATCTTGATGCGACGCGTTTCTTCCTGTCGATCTAACTCGTGAAAGCGCAGACGGTGCTACCTGATTCTAATGGATAGGACTCACTTCTTTTGCATGTGAACTCTCGCGTGCATGTACTTGACTTTTACATACCCTTTAACTTGGTAACATAGAATACATTTCGTCTCACATTATCATTTTCATACAATACACTTCGGAACACGCTGTATACGAAGTAACCGTGGCATCAATTTTTGTAATTGA